GATCCCGAAGGAATTTTGAGTGGGCAACACAATTTCATTTACCTCCCTCTGAAACGAATCGTGAATGGATTGCCCTAAAATTCAGCCGTTTAATATCTAAAAAATTTAGTGTGAAAATAGGTAAAAATTGTTATCAAAAATAGCAATTTTGTATCAATCATAGCAATTGAATAACACTGAAATATTTAAAAATTGGACAGTGGAATCAATTTCAACTGAAATGGGTCAATATTATACTATTTGTATTTCAGGGGTAAGAGAAAATTACAATTGATGTAGGTAAGTTACACAGTGATGAATTTATCATTACTGTGAAATCAATGAATACTTCATTTATCACCAAAAATCCTGATTTTTTACTTCATGAGATGACATATTAACAATAGTCCTCAAATGGCACAGTAACAGTAATTCGTTGAGTAATGCCAAAATCTACAGAAGCAGACTACGTTTGTAGGCAGGACCCACACCAGTAGCCAAAGAATCCTTAAGGAAGAATGCTGAAAGCTGAAAATTTAAATATTCGATTTTTAAATTAATTTTCCTTAGTCCACATCATTCGGCTCCTCAAAAATTTCTCAGCAACAAACAAAGTAGTCTTGCCTGTCTTTCCAAGCAATCATGAAATGAAAGAAGATTTAATGATGAAAATGACAAATACTGGGTCCAACCTAAACAAAAACACAATTTTTATCATACCTACCTAAATTACATATTTTTTTTTTTTTTTTTTTTTTTTTTTTTTTTTTTTTTTTTGAAAGCACCGGAAGAGATTTGATAAATACATTTATAAATACTTTAAGAAAAAAAAATTACTCATGTGCGCTCATATATGCTAGCAAATACACCAGCACCAGAGCTACCACCAGAGCTTGTATGAGTGCTTTTCCCACCTTTTTTCAGAAAAACAAATCTGTATATGGAACAAGAATTACATTTTCTTTATCATTATTTGTTTTACTTTTAGGTACATTTTTTCTCAAGTATTCGAACCATGCACAAGCCAGAAAATTCTATTCAACTCTTGTGTCTTAAATCCAGTTCATAAATTTATTGATGGCAAGAGTTGTCTGCTCTTCTCCTATGGAACAACAAATGCTGGAAAAACCCACACCATACATGGTAAGGAACCCATGAATTCTGTACTTCTCACTTGTCCTAAATGTAATGAACTGTCTTTTATGTTAACTAGATTGCACTCTCCATTCTTCAATGGGATTTTTTCAATTGGCCCTTCATCAATATCTTAAAATTGAATCCCACAATATGACTTTTCCATATGATTTTGGGCACTGCAATCCCCCAATGGCTCTGGAGAAAATAACACGATAATTGCTCGCTGAACCCCCTTTGTAATGAACTGTATGATTTAATTCAATAACAACAAATAAGTCAGAATTTTAAAACTGTGAGTTGTTATCTCTTAATTTTACCAAATTCTGAAGTTCATCCTTTTATCCAAACTGTTTGATTAACTGCCATCTTACTTATCTTACCTTAATACACAAAGTGTAAAGCTTATATCTGAAAAAAAAATATTGTTGATGTTTAAGTGTGATCTCGGATATTTTACTTGTATGCTTTCCTCAGATTTTCAGTACAGATTTGTATATCAACTCTCTCCTTTGTCTCAGTATTGAATATCCAATTGACTTCTGCTTTTAACAGGCTCAAAAAAAGATCCAGGCATCATCCCACGTGTTCTGAGCATATTATTTAAGAGCATCAAACAAAAACAGTGCAATGAAATTCAGGGGATTCAGTTCAGGCCAGAGTATGGTAATTCAATTAGAGAATTAAAAGAAGACGAAATCAGAGAGCAAATCGCCCTAAAGGAAAAACTTCTCAATTTGCCCAATGATTCAAGTGGGGTAAGTTTATGAATGGATAATTTTCTGTTTCATCAATAAAACTGCAGTTGCAACAACAGGCTGATTATTAAAATTTTGTGCTCATCAACTAAACTAGACAAGACTGAAGTAAGACGGTGCTTTGTGATTGTTCGAGTCCCTTTTCTGCGCTTGTCGAGCTCTCTTTTTTGTTTCTCACAAGGCTGGACACATAACTGGTTTTCACTCACCAAGGAGATGCATTTAGTGTGTCGATTAACTGGACCAAGACAGGCTTAAAAAAGGGTGCAGACAAGGGACTCCACCAATCACACAATGCTTTCACCATTATTCCAGCAACTCCTTCCTGTCTTGTCTCCTCCAGTCAATATGTACTTTATTCTAAAATCTGTTCGCTGGCTCTGGAGTGATTTTTTAAAAGAAAATTGTCTAAAATTTTCAGGTCATGCTTGAAATTGAAAGCTTTGTAATACCGTTATTTTTCCTCCAAATGTAAATTACTGCCCTCTAGTTCTGTTGCTCAGTTTGTTCAGTATTGTGGTAAAACTGTTGAATGATAAAAACTTTTCCTCTGGAAGACTAACAAATTGATGGTTTGTGCGCTCTAGAATGGAGATGTTGCATTAGGGTGCGTCAAAAAAAATGAAAGTCTGAAATGTTCCGCTCCCCAGGCGGCCAT